TAAACATTAAGCCAAACTACTAGAATTGTGCTTTCTAACTGCTTTTACACCCAATATAATATTGACTTAACAGCAGTCATTCTGGCAAAAAGTGGCAATTAAATAAACTAAATCTTGCATATAGACATCTGAAAGTAAAATCCATAACATATAAATTGTTCGCATTTTGTATAAACACAATAACTTCTAATTAAAAAGCAATTGGGGGGTTTAAAAGCATTCCCTATAGACAACAAACAGAGGATTCTCAAAACACTGTAACTTAAGTAGGTTTCCATTGTATGGCCTATGTGCCTGAAAATATCATGCTCTGAATATTATTTTGTGTCTCTAGCTCACACGCTATTACAAAGAAAATACTGCAAAGGCAGTCACATCAGAAATCAAATATGTTTCGCTGCCAACCGACCTGAAGGATAGGTGGTCTGTGAAGAGTAGTGGTTGCAGTCAGTGATGCAGGAGCTGGACAGCCTGGTCGGATGATGGTGCTGGGAGTCACTTGTCTGCTGATGACAGTGTTTCCAGGAGCCTAAAAAGTGGCAAAAAGCAAAAGTTGACGAGCAACATCCAAGTCTATAAAAAGTTAAAATGCATGAATCTTGCAGCTTTACAAGGCTTAAGACCAATAATAAGATCCACAGTGCTGCTCCCCATGTACTGCAAGTTATGCAATCTAATAGTCTGCTCAACAGGTGTTTTCATCAACTGTGTGCAGGCTGAACGTGGCCTGAGTCACTAATATGAAGTGAAAGATAATTGTTGTGAAAATGATGTTCTTACCTGGCCTGGAGGCACATTCGTTGGTGTAGTGGCCCGAGGTGCCAGGTCTCCCTGCGCCTGGGCTTGCATCTGGGCCAAAGCCTGCTGAGGAATCATCAGCAGCTGTCCACTCTCACTCCGTACAAGCACCATTCCTGACACCCATCAAAAAAAAAGAAAAAGAAAAAACAAAACAAAACAAAAAATAAACATCAACATAATAACAGTAACCAGCAAATAACAAATGAGCAAATTAGTGTGACTTAAAGACTTCAGTGTGCTTCTCCTAGTAAGTCTGAGGGCATGCAAGTACTATATATACTGTCCTGGGATAACAACATTCAGTTATTTTTGCAATCATTCAGAAAGACAAAAAAAAAAGGAACTAAACTGGTGACTCAGTTAAGTGTGAAACAAATGCCTTATCAACTAACTCCACTCACCCGGTGGGAGCTGGATGTTATGGATACTGGGTTGTCCCGGTGTAGCCTGGGGTAGCCTTGGGGCCAGCATCTGAGGTGCCAGAGCGCGGATTCCGCCAGTAGCGGCAGCTGCCGCCGCAGAAGTCCGGGGAACGGTGACGGCGCCGGGAGTAACAGTAGGCTGCGGTGTCGTCTCTGTTATTGTTGTGGGTGGCTCTGCCTTGATGATGTGCGTCCCCGCGCTGATGGCCACAGAACTGGAAGGCTGGCCGTTGTTTACAAGCGGAGTTTGCATGCCGATACCTGTCTGACTCGATGCACTGGCCGCCACAGAAGGGCTCGCGCTATTGTTCCCATTCAAAATTGCACCCGACCCAGCGGTTTGCATAGGCGTCCTGACGAGTGTCACAGTGGGTCCCGTTGCTTGGCTCACAGGCTGAGCTGAAGCCACAACGCTCTGAGAGTTCATGAGCGGGGTCTGAATTACACTGTTTGAAGAGGGGGGCATTGTGACACCGGCCAGCCCTTTTGACAACACTGGTCCACTGTTGACAGCTGTGACAGATATCGCAGCGCTGCTGCTGCTACCAGTGCCACTTGTCACTATCGTCCCCCTGAGAGTGGCAGCGTTTCCTGAATTGTGAGAGTTCATATTTTGGCTCCCATTGAAAGTCTGCGCCGAGTATGAGCCCACTTTCCCCTGATGATTAGGGAGAAAAGTTACGCCGCTACTAACGACAAGTGTTTTGCCAGGGTCGTGTCCCGTGTTGGAGTCCGTGCTGGCCGTCGATGCGTCCATAGCTGAACCATGGGGAGCTCGTTATGTAGAGACCCCCCGCACTTCAACTTGTTTAACAAGGCGCACAAACAATCTTGAATGCGATGGGGCAAGACTATGTCACAGTTGCTGCTTTTCTCTGTCAGCTCCGGCGATCGCTTTCCGTTTACAGTAGGAGAGACAAAGAGAAAAACAACATTAGTAGTTTACAGCGTACCTGCTTTAGCAATCGTCTTGACCAAGTCCCAGCTGGGCATTAGCTCGAGCTACCCCCTTGTCCCGGAACTATAGCCATGTAATTACCGGCAGCCTCGTCCCTAACCCAGTGGTTGTTGTGACACAAGAACGACAGTTGTGAGTCTACAGAACGTGCAGGATGACAAACTACCGCTTTATTCACCCCTGTGAGTAACAAGAGCTCTTCCAGCGGGCCAGAGCCAACCGCCATCTTCACACTCTTGCGAGCTTGTGAAAAGTGAGGTACTTACCGACTGACGTGCGCTTGCGCACAACAGCTAAAAGTCTCCGAGCAGGGACTTCTGAGAGCTGTGATTGGCTGCTCCACGTGTAAAAGGCGGTACCAATGGCTTCAGCTGTCATTCCAGGGGCTGCTCGAGACGGAACAACATCGTATCGGAGATAATCTGTTTTCGTCAAATGTTACACTGTCAGCGACGTGTTTACACTAACACGATAACTATTCGGCTGAAGAATTTCAATATGTGTCGTTTGGTAGAAGAATAATTGGGTTTGCGACAAGCTAACAAACCGAATTTAACAGGTTATTCGCGCTCGGTGCGCTGTGCAAGATGGCTGCAGTGGTATAGCCGAGTGAAGTTGCTGTTGTGATGAGGCGTTTGAGGGCGCCCCACCCTGCTTTAGAGAGGAAATGTACAGTGCAGTCAGCCAGTCATGGGATTTAGAACTTCTTTTTTTGTTTTTTTTAAGCGTACCGACTGCTATGAATGCCAGCGAAAGAGGAACGTTTGTTTTGCTTTCATTTTTGTGTTGAAATAAAGATCCAGACGTGCAGGCGTTTATTTTATTCCTTTCAAAAAAATATTCAGCAACTTTGGCAGCAAACTCACAATGGCTCAAACAAGATAATTATTTCCAAGTTTTTTTCTTTTTTTTTTTTAAGGATTTAAGTTTTTACAAATGTTGCTCCAAAATTTAAAAGAGAGAATAATTTATAAAAAATATTTTAATACAGTCTAAATGTTTTATTTTAACTTTTGTTCTGACCTCCAAAAGAAAAAAATATTACTTTTTTTAATTATTTGTAAGCAGCTGGAGTAATGTTATATCGTTTTATTTATATATTTTTCAGTTTGATAAATTACATATCATATACAATCACCATTATTAGGAACACCTTGCTTGTTCTGGGTTGGACCCTGTTTCTACCTTCAGAGTTGTCCAAATTCTTTGTGGCACAGATTGAACATGGTGCCGGAAACATTCTTCAGGCTTTGGGCCCATATTGATGTAGCATCACACAGTCGCTGCAGATTTGCAGACTGCACATCCACACTGTGAAGCTCCCACTCCAGCACATCCCAGATGTCATGTATTGGGTTGGGATCTGGTGACTGTGGAGGCAATCTGAGTCCAGTGAACCCATTGCAATGTTTAAGAAACTAGTTTGAGATTATTTGAGCTTTAAGCAGTTTCTTAACCTGCTGGAACCATTAGAAGACTGTACCTTCAGTATGTGATCATAAGGGAATGGACATGGTAAATAATGAGATTCAGGTAGTCTGTAGGATTAAAAACATGCTCAACTGGTACTAAGAGACCCAAAGTGTGCCAAAAAATATCCCCCACACCAGTACACCAGCAGAAACAACTATAAGGCTAGATAGATCCATGGTGCAGCAGAAACTGAGCCTCATCAGACCATGCAATGTTTTTTTCCAGTTTTTCATTGTCCACCTGTAGTGTGTGTAATCTAGCCTCAGTTTTTTGTTCTTAGTTTACAGGAGTGGCATCCGGTGTGGTCATCTGCTGCTGTAGCCCATCCCCTTCGAGGTTTGAGGTGTGTTGTGCATGCACTCTTCTGCATACTCTAATTGCAATGAGTGGTTATTTGAGTTACTGTTGCCATCCCATCAGCTCAAAGCAGTCTGGCGATTCACCTCTGACCGCTAGGATCACCAAGGCGTTTTTTGGTTTCTTCCTTTTTGTTTTTTCTCAGAGGACTGCCACCATTTTCTGCCATTTTCTCTTTGCAGACCATTCCCTGTAAATACTGGAGATAGTTGTGAGGCAAAATCCCAGATCAGGCCACACTCCAGCACCACCAACCATGCTACGTTCAAAGCCACTTAAACATCAGTAGGTCATTTTGACCATGTTTACATGCCTAAATTCATTAGGTTGCAGCCATGAAATTAGTTGAACAGATGTACCTATCAAAGTGGCCAGTGAGTAAGCTGGTATATATTAGTATGTATATCAGGGATGGGGAACTCCAGGCCTCAAGGGCCGGTGTCCTGCAGGTTTTAGATGTGTCCTTGATCCAACACAGCTGATTTAAATGGCTAAATTACCTTATCATGTCTTGGAAGTTCTCCAGAGGCCTGGTAATGAACTAATCATTTGATTCAGGTTTGTTGACCCAGGGTGATATCTAAAACCTGCAGGACACTGGCCCTCGAGGCCTGGAGTTCCCCTACCCCTGATGTATATGTTTATTGGATAAGTTAGACAACCCTGTCCTATACCATAACGACAGCAAAACTAATTTTTAACCGCTAGCTGCTGGTGAGTTTGTTAGTGGACACCTCAGATCTGTTTGGGCTTAGCGTTTAACACCAGCGAGCCCGCTTCCAGTTTTACTTAGTTTAACTCCACGCTCTTGCTTTTGTAACTAGCGGTGTATGCCGACTGAGTAAAGAAACTACCCCCGTTTTACACACAGCCACAAAGAGGTGCAGCCCTGCCAATCTTATAAAGTGCACAGGTGCTTTCCATCATGCACACTGTGGATTAGTTAAGGTGTGCGTGGCGTGGCTTCTCACTCTGTAGGTGAAGTTTGGTCTGAAAGCATATTTTTACTGCAAGCATGAGTGCCGGAGGAACTCCTTACATTGGCAGTAAAATAAGTTTAATATCCAAGGCACAGATTCGTTATGAGGGCATTTTGTCTTCTGTGGACACAGACAGGTCCACAGTTGCTTTAGCAAAAGGTAGGTTGATGCTTTACAGGATGCGGCTCGAGGCTGTGTTTACTCCTCAGTTAAGTCTTAAACAAAATTTGCTGCAGTTTAAAAAACAGCTGACTTGCTTTATGTCATTTCAACATATATTTTCCCAGTTAAATCTTATGGCACTGAAGACCGGCACACAGATAGACCAGTGCCACCCAAAGATGAAGTTTATGAATTCATAATCTTCAGGGGCAGTGACATAAAAGATATTACTGTGTCTGAGCCACCAAAACCACACCATGGACTTCCTCGGGACCCTGCTATTGTTCAGGTGAGTAGGTGAAGGAGATTCAACTTAATTTTGTTTCCTCACTGTAGATTTATTTGAAATTGATAGAAAGTTTCATAAAAGTTCATTTTTGTCTTTATTGTTTTGGGATCAGTCATCAATTGGTAGCTCCTCTGCAATGTATCACCCACGCTGGAGTCCTTACAGAGACATGATGCCCACCTACAATCAGCTGGCTGCTAGCTCTCTACTCAACCAGCAGTACAGTGCAGCACTGGGACTAGGTACAGAGTTATTCTCAATATAACAGAGGATTTGTTATATATTTATGTTTGTGTAAATCTGGGTTTCCAGCATGGAAAATGGTCTTGCACCTCTAGGCTTCTTTGTGCTCTCTCAATTGTAGGACTTTCAGGCCAAGCCAGAAGAGCCCCTATGGTTGAACAGGCTGTCCAGACCATGCCTCTGGTCAGTGCTGCACAGAAAAAGGGAAAGACTACAACCCAGCCACAGAACAAACCGCTGGTGCGTCCAGTTCAGCGGTCTGGACAGGGTGGTGCCCAGGTTCAAAAAGAGAATATACCCACCAGTAAGCGGACTTGAACAGTGAACATTTACTTTAACATCAGTTGACTTCATTGCACTGCTTTTAAGTCCACCACAATAAGGAGAAAGATTATCATATCATTTTAGGACAGGCACCATCTAAGCCAAGTGCTGCCTCAGCTGAAGGCCAAAATACTGGAAACCAGAAACTAAGGCAGCGACAAGGTATCCACATTTAAAATGTGCATTGTGAGCTGCTAATTGCTGAATGGCAGTAGGTTTGCTTGACTCTTTCTGCGGGAAAATTAACTGCAATTATATTTATAAAAAATATTTTGCCCATCTGCCTGGAAGCATTAAATTACCAAATGAAATGTCTCATACTAGATGAACTGGTTTGAGAACCAGTTTTAACTGTGTTTTTGTTTTGTTTTTTCCTTCCCCTCTAAATGCTTATTTGCAGGCAGCCGCAGGTCCAGGAACAGAAGTAGAGGCCAACTAATAGTGAAAAACACAAAGGCTTCAACTTTGGCATTTGAGTCAGATTTTGATTTTGAAAGTGCAAATGCTCAGTTTAAAGATCTTACGAAGCAAAATGTTGGTATGTTTTAAAGATCACCAATCAATTCAGTTTTATTTGCGGTGACATAAACTGAGCTGAGTGTATACATGTGTTTTGCAGTTGAGGAGTCTTGGGAGACAGAGGACAGCCCTCCTCAACAGGAGGAGGAGCCTCTCAGAGATAAGTACTATGACAAAGCCAAGTGTTTCTTTGATAACATCTCATCAGACCTCAAGCCCAGGTGACCTAAACAGTTTATTTGTAATATTTGTTTTGTGAAGCTCTGTAATCTACTTATTCCCACCCCACAAAAAAATGTGCCTTTTAGGAGGACCACCTGGGCTGAGGAGAAAAAGTTGAACATAGAAACATTTGGAGTTCCTGGTCGCTTCCTGAGAGGCCGAGGATTCAGGGGGCGTGGACGCAGAGGGCTGAACGCCACTGAGCAGCGAGCGCTTCCAAAAGTTGGTAGTGGCAGAGTGTGAAGGATTTCCTTTTTGTTAAAACTGTTGTACATACTGTAGTTTTCAACTTGTTTAAGAGGAACCTCCTTGAGTTCCAACCTCTGCAACAGCACTCAGTGAAGTTGTTTTTTTTTTTTTTGGTTTTTTGTTTATCCCAAATGCAAATTTGTATTTTGGATCCTTACATGAAATGGGAGAGCAGTTTCTTTTAATCCAGCAACTGTGCACTTAAAAAAAAAAAAAAGCAATATTGTTACTTAGTTTGAAACATGCGATGTGGAATTTGTCGTTTTGTTTTTTTTTGTTTTTTTTTTTTTAATGTTTGTATACATTTACACATACTTGGCTGTCCAAATGTAATCCAAATGGGTTCTGGAAGACAGGTTTGTCAAAATGGACAACTGTACTTTTGTGGTTTCGTTTTGGCTTTTGCTTGTTTTGGGTTTTTTTTTTTTGGTTTTTTTTTCTTTCCCCAGTTTGATATAAAAACTGAAGACGCATGTGGCACAGTAATAAATATGTGATTAACAATATGGCTCTCTCGTAGCATTTCTCCTGCAGAAGTGGTCGCCACAAACCCTTTTTAGTCTCTCCTCCTAATAGAGTATAGGAATTGAATGTTCTTCCTCACACTTGGAACAAATGTTTACTACATGTCGTAATATCTTGAGTCCTGTCGTTGTGTTGGGCTGGAAATAGAAGTGAGTTGGTGGCACTTTGGGCCCAGATCTTCCAGTGTGTCCTGATATGAAGCACCTTCAGAAATACTGATCCTATTCAGCTCTGAGGTGGCGTCGGAGTCCCTCTCCTGTGTGTAGATGTGAAGGTCACTGTCTAAGTCCCCTTTTTTCTCTGGGAGTGAGGTTGTCTTCTGTAAAAGGTGGCACATGCAAATGTGCCAGCAGTGATTATTTTTAAATAATGCAACATAAAGGCATAATGGACTAAAGACTACCAACTTGATGAAGTGGCATGAGTTCAATGGACTCCGTAGCACAGCTCACGTTTTGTGATTGGAGGACGTTCATGTTGCCCATATCATCAAACTGCACAAAGAAAGTTCACACATTTCTTCATCTCTGATTTCAAAGTAAAAGATTACAAACACAAATCTCTGGTGTTCTACCTGATGGCTGCTGTCATAGCCAGTGGTTATTGGAGATTTCCTGTCTGACTGAAATATGAAAAAGAAACCATTTAATATTTTAAGATCCATTTGTAAGACATCCTTGATCTTCTATGGGTGTGTACAACCTGGTTCTGAGGGTAGCTGTGTTGGTAGGACAGGCTTTCTCTTTTTAAATTCTCACATGGTGAGTGGATTTCCTGTTGGGAAAGGGTGACAAGACCAGGAGGTGATCTATAGAGGAATCTGTTCACACTTTGAAGGGATGTATTTACAAAAGTACATGCTCCATGGAAGAACGACCTACCTTAGGTTGTGAGTCCTTGGCTGTCATGCATATAGAAGCCAGTTGGTGAAACTTTGGACCCAGATCTTCCAGTGTGTCCTGAAATGAACCCTCTTCAGAAATACTGATTGCCTCCAGCTCTGGGGTGGTGTCTGAGTCTAGCTCTGAATAGATGTGAAGCTCATCGTCTAGCAAGTCCCCTTCTTTCTCCCGCAGAGAGGTTAGCTTTTGTAAAAAGCGGAACATGTCAAAAGCAAATACAAATATGCCTGAAGTGATTTGTTTTTTAATGGTACATGCTCCTACATTTTTATTAATTTTTTAAGATAATGCAGCATAGGAGATGTGACATACTTCAGAGACTACCAACCTGATGAAGCTGCATGTCATTAGACTCCGTAGCACAGCTCAAGGTTTGTGATTGGAGGACGTTCATATTGCCCATGTCTTCAAACTGCACACAAAAGGTTCACACATTTCTTTATCTCTGATTTCAAAGTAAAAGATTACAAACACAAATCTCTGCTGTTCTACCTGATGGCTGCTGTCATAGCCAGTGGTTATTGGAAAATTCCAGTTTGACTGAAATTTAAAGAACACAAACATATAGTTATTATTTTAAGATCCATTTGTAAGTCATCCTCGATCTTCTGTGGGTGTGTACAACCTGGTTCCCAGTGTGGCTGTATTGGCTTTCTCTTCTGGAATCCCCAAAGCGTGGGTGGATGGACCTCTGTGTAAAATCCTGTTCAAAAGGATGACAAGACCAGGAGGTGATCTATAGAGGATTCTGTTTATCACACTTTCATGAGATGCTTTTACAAAAGTACATGCTCCATGGAAGAATGACCTACCCTAGGTTGTGAGCGTACGCTCCGAAAACTGCCAAAAGTCTGAACTTCATTCATACCCACCCTTGGTGAATATCTCCCATTTCTCATCCCATTCAGTGGAATATGGAAATTAGATTGATTATATTGCTCCATACAAACTGTTTTTTCGATAATAGTGGGAGGAATCTTTAAAGAAAAAGAAAAAGAAATGGTTTACTGATATTTGCCTTAAAATGGGTCATTGGCATGGATGCAAATGTTTCTAAACAGTGACCTCGCAGTTGTCTCCTGGTGCCTCAGTGTTTGATTGGAGGAGGATTCCTCCTGAACAATCTTCAGGCTCCATAGTGACGAACTCTCTTTTGGACGAGATGCTGAGTGCCAGCAGCAGCAGAGCTGTCAAAGAGTAAAATAAAACTTATACTGGGTTCTTAGAGATGTTAGCACACATATCACAGTTCTCCTACACTAAAGTAAATGGTGTGTTTCTTACACAGAAGTAGTAAGAGTGAACAAATTATTATGCATAAAGCATAAGGGCCAATGTTTATTTCAGATTTCTGGCGAATTCGACAGTTTGGTGTCACAGTGCAGCCACATGCAGTCACACTGAGGTTGTAAACTTTAAATGCTCCCTGCATGTCGGAGATCTTTAGATGAATTGTGTGTTGACCAGAGGACACACCAGGCTCCTTCACCAGACCAGCTGCGTAACCTTGAAGAAAAGATCAGAAAATGATAGGATACTTTAAGAGTTCTGGCTTTTGTGCTTGTTTTTCTGTAATATGTCACTAAATACACGAAGGATGTTTCTACCATAGTCAGGATTCAGTCTCCATTTTCCTTCAACATTTCCCAACAATTCAAAAGTGAAAGGCCCTGCATAAGGTGCTTCATCTGGGTCAAAGGCCTCAATGTTGGTGGTTGTGGGGGCATCAGACACACACACATCCAGGCTGTCCACTCTTAGCTGTGGCACGTTGTCATTCTGGTCCCACACATGGATATGTAGTGTAGCTGTTCCTGTCATTGGTGGTATACCTGTCCAAGATGCAAGAAATGTAGTACAAAAAAAGCTGTTTGTGTTTTAAAAGTCAGAGTGTGTGTTTACCTTTGTCAACTGCATACACTAAGATGGTGTAGGTGCCGTTAACAACGTGTGGAGATTCTCTGTCGGGCGTCTTTATCATTGTGATTTTTCCTGTGAGGGGATCCACCGTCACCCAGCCAGCAGGATCATTTCCTACCTTGTAACTGTGGACAGATTCAGTGCACTTAGACACAACTGAACAGCTTCAGATCAACGTTCAGAGATGTTTAATCAAATAAATTGCTTACACAAAGTCTTTGGAATAACTGGAGTCAGGATCCACAGCCGTCACTTTATCAACCCAGGTTCCAGCGGGTACGTTCTCCATCACCACGACCTCTTTCACCGTCATGCTGAATTTAGGAGGGTCATTGGTATCCTCCACATCAATGGTGACTTTCACAGACTGAGGTTTAGCTGCACCAGAGAGATCATGGCCTTTAATGGTGTCAACTTTCCAGAGGCCTGAGGGCGTCCTCTCTTTTACTTCACAGGAGTAATACGGTGCCTCGTTTTCCACTGAGATCAACAGCTCCCTCTGCGCCCCATTCTCAAAGTCTAAAGGCTGAAATTATACAACAGTGTTGCAAAATCAGTAAATTGTTATTTGTGAAATTCAAAAAATATTGTCAGCATCATTATATAAGAGGATAATAAACTTTAAAAAAAAAGCTGTGGGTGTCATTGTAATGTATGGCATGCAGTCAAACACCACTTACTTTAACTACTGTCAGGATCCCATCATTAGTCTCTAAGTCTGTTAGTATCTCAAAGTTCTCTCTCTCGTCACCATGTACGGTGTATCTGGCTCTCCATGCAGAGGTGTGGGGGGTGTCTTTGTCTGTCACATGCAGCCTCAGAGGAGAGACCCCAGTCTCAAGCTCCTTCACTTTACCAGTGCCCTGTGGTTTGAATACAGAGTGTGTAAACCTGTAGAAGAATTTCCCATTGCTAATACACAATTTTAAGTATATATTTTTTCTTATGTGTCTATTATAATTTATGCAATTATGGAGTCAGTGTGGTCTATTCACAATGTTTATACTCCTTGTAATACATTAAGCAGATATGATTTTATAAAATAATGATTTGGTGGTTATGTAAAGTATGGAGCAAGCCAACTACACAAGTTTATTAAAGTAATACTGTGTAAAACTGTGATTGCTTGATGTCAGTAGATTGCAGTCACTTAAGTTCTGTTTTATTATCCTTCCCAATTCAAGTCCATAATCATTAAATTTAGTCCAGCAACTTTCTCCTTCCCTTTGGAGCAGATCTGAATACACCCCAGAGTTTTTCCATATCTGTGGAAGGCTGCCAGTTCACAGTTTAGCTTAGATGTCGATGTTGGGTAAGAAGTGTTTACTTGTATTTACTCTGCAAGATGCCTTAAAACTTTGTGAAGGGAGTTCCATATGAGTTAGTGAGAAGAGAAGCTCACTTCTGTCCAATGACAGCCATGCTGAGGTGAAATGTTGAGATACGCTGGTGTTTTCTGTCGCTAAGTGATGCTATTAGCATTCATTAGCTACTGTTAGCAGCGTTAGTGAAACTTTCTTTAAAGTGAATGTAACTTTGCTGTACTCTGACACTTAGTGAATAAACTCTCATATGATGAGAAAATGCACTCAAACTGTTTATTAGAGGGAAACTGAGTGAGCTTTCACAGCTTTCACAATAAGCAAATCTGCTTCTATGCATTTTAATGGATTGAATATGAGTTTATGAGAAAGTATTAATTTGGCATAAATAGACAATAATCTATATATTAATGAGAATAATAGCATCTATTTCTATTATAGAAAGTCATTAATAAAAAATTACTGACTGCACCTTTAAAACGTAAACTCATTGTGAATGCAGTATAAATATGAGTTTATATTTATGTTTGATGAACCACCAAGGTGTCTTGCCTTCTTTTATGTATACACTACACATCAGTATCAGGTTACAGGTGTGAAAGTCCTGAAACTGGTGCTGTTTGGAGTTTGCAACACCAACTGACTGCCTACCGTTTGATCACTGAAGACTGGAAGGTGGTTGTTGCCATCCCGTACATGAATTACAACAGTGGTTGAACTGGACAGGCTGACTACTTCACCGTGGTCTTTGGCCTCCACCATTAATGTAAACTTCTCAGCCACCTTAACAAAAGCAAATGGAGTGTTTTACATTAATAGGCTAAAAGCATAACAATGTATTCATAGGATACATAGATCATAGTGTATCCTAGACAGTGGCTCCTACGGTAGTTAGACCATTATGCACAAAGCTTACGGGTGGGGTTTTTTTGTATTACACGAATGGGGTTTTTTTATAATAAGGAAACATTTGTAACCTTTGTGATATTTGCAAAGAATCTGTTGCTGCTCAAAGTGAGCATGCGCATCTGCATAAATAGCTCCATAAGTTTTACTTACTCAAGTAAAGAACTAGCCAAATCGTTTTCCTTACTCATCTTTAAAATGTTTCGTACTCCTGACATATCAACAAAAGAGTCTCTTACCTCATGATTTAAACAACCTTTGAATGAAATGTATCCAGACTCATCAACGAAGAATTCAGTGTCTCTAACATTTGGAGACACAGATTTGATTTCATAGTGGAAGGTTGAGTTTAGTGTTTCGCTCTCGTCTATGTCAGTAGCATGCACTTTCAAAAGATTGGAGCCTGTTGGGAAATAAACAATTAAGGAGCACTCAGTGTTTAATTCAATTCAAAGGAAGAAGCACACACATACACACACACACACAGACACACACACACACACAGGGCTAGATAGATAAACACACAGACATGACTCACACAGACACAGTGGGGGAAATAATTATTTGATCCCCTGCTGCTAATTTAACTTTGCTCACTACATTAGAAATGAAGAGCTTCTTTTCATTTCTAATGTAGTTTTATTTTAGTGGAAAGAGACAGAATATCTACCAAAAATCCAGAAAAAACACATCACATTAAAGGTTGTAGGCACACAGATTCCAATCAATCAATCAATTACAGATCCTCCTAATCTCAGCTTGTTATGTATATGAAGTACACCCATCCTCAGAATTATTTTCTTTCATTCCAACCTCTCCACCACCACAGGCAAGACCAAAGAGCTGTCAAAGGATGTCGAGACAAGAATGGGCTTGTAGTCCACTCTTGCCCCGTGGAGGTGGGCTGGAATGGACTACAAGCCCATTCATGTCCCCGACACCTCGTTGAGATGGTAACAAGTGGTGATGCAATTGTTCAGCAATGGAAGCAGTAAAAACAACTCAAAAGTGCCATTCTGTCTCTCACCATTAAAATGAAACTATAATAAAAAAAAAATTATTCATTTGTAAGTGAGCCAACTTACAGAACTAGCGGGGATCAAATAATTATATGTACATATATATTATTATTATTATTTTTTACCTTGTGTGTTTTCCTGATCAACAGTAGTCTCATACAGACTGTTCTCAAAGCGTGGTGGGTTGTCATTGATGTCCTTTATGAAAATCTCAAGTCGTAACCTGGTAACCTGTCTGGTGTCAGTTGACACGTCCATCTTTCTGGCCTCACATATTAGCTAGACATCAAATGATACCACGAAGACTTACAATAGAAAATAAATAGTAAATATTGTGATCTATGACATGGAAAGATTATCATTAAGTGGTAAAGTTCTGTGACAAGAAGTTAAAATAATTTTAAAGATTTTTTTCAGCCTTTTTTATGCAACCAAAGTAACAAAATTTTACACTTCTAGTATGAAATCAGGTAAAGCTTCTGACGATATGCTGACAGAAACGTAAAGTGTAAAAACTGTTGGTTAACAATAAGCATGAGCATGCTTAATCTGCACTCTCATTAATAGTAATTACTCCACAATAACAGGTGTTCACTGTCACTATGAATAATTTGTACATGAACAGAAAGACTGTGGGATCACTACATGTTGGCGTTTAGCAAGTGTTGATTCTAACCTCAAGTTTTTGCCACTCCTCATAGTCCACAGCCTTGTGGACGTACAACATGCCAGACTCTTTGTCAATGGAAATGACTCCCATCGGCGCCTCATCCACCCCTTCTCCATAGAGTTGGAAGGTTAGTCGATTTTGCCCATCAATATTCACCTACAACACAACAGTAAATGTTTGCAAATGTAAACGTCTGTTTTGGGATTTTAAATGTATCACTGATTTTATTGCTGTGAACCTGGGCACGATTAAATAAAGAAACGTGCAAGTATCAAAGGAATGCAGGTGTTAAGTCAGCTATAATCAATGAACTGATTATTTTTGCATTATTAGTATTCGTTTTTTGGTAGCTACATTAAAAAAGTTCACCTGAAAATTAAATTCACTGTGCATTTTATTCCACAAAAAAATTAATTTGAAACGTAAAAACCTATACATAAAAGTTTGTTTTTTTCTGTCATTTTCTGGTTACATTTCTCACCTTGCCCAACTCATATGGGAATGGCCCTGGATAACCCTCCTCAAGCTCAAACGAGTCAGTAGTCCATTCCCTCCTGTGACGGCTCAGCAGGTCTGAGCTTCCAGCACCTGATAAACAATAAACCTGGAAGGCAAACAGTCAGTCAAAGCAGGAATGTTAGGGGATGGGCTTACGGTGAAGTTATAATTTATGCGTCTGGGGTAATGAACTTCTTAAAAGCTCACTGTTGCATAGTTGGTAAACCAGTTTTGATAAGGTGCGCACACACGTATTTCTGCAGATATGCAAAGGCTTTCCGAGTATAGCGTGATAAGAGAAATGAACCTGTTCAAAAGGAGATCCCAGATTTCTTTCGCCGACAACAAAACATTAATTCAATTTTAAGCAATTTCAGAAAACGTTTTTAAGAATTTTGCCTTTCGTAGCCATGTGATACGACAGGTGAAGAGATACAGTAGGGCGCGCAGTATTTGCGCACATAATTAGCATGTCTGACAAAGGAAAAGTCAAAGGAATACAAAAGTAATTGCTACGTACCAATAAAAAGAAGTAGCGCATGACCTTTGTTCACTGCAGTCAGCTCAGAGTGAGTAAGGACTTACTTCAGAGTAGCAAGCCCAGCCTTCTTTCCACACCCACATATGCAACCGTAAAATCCTGTTTTTGTACGCGCGCGCGTGTGCGCACGCGTGTTTCTGTGTGTGCCTGTTTACCTGCCTTTCCATGGAACCAGCTGTAACTGACAGCTGAAAATCAAAATAGGACAAACTCAGTCTAACGAATAGAAGCCGTGTTTTGTGCCTTTAGTTCCTTGACTGCTTTAGTTTGACGATAGGTTTGTTATGTCTAAATCTTGGTCTAGTGCTAGTTGCTGTTTTATTGTGATGGCCTGTTATCTCTTGTGCTTTGTATTTAGTTCTACCTTCCTACTCTCATGGTCTGTGTTTAGCTGTCCTCCCACCTGTTTCCTCTTCCCTTGTTATATGGTGTGTTTTTGTCTCATTTTCCACTTGTCCGTTGTTCCATGCTCCCTCATGTCTGTGCTTCTCCTTGTTCTGTGTGTTTTGTAGAAGTTTCATTGTGTTGGATTCTTTGTTTGTAACCTGGTGATATGACTACAAAATCGATCATCTACCTGCGGCCTAGAGCATCCTAGTGCCACGTGCGCTTATGGACACTCTTATGTTCGAACAAGGTGTTTGCTATGGCCAAACTGTGATTTGCACAGAAGTCCAATAACAAAACACTGGTCGGGTTCAGATCAGGGAGGCCGTTCTTCCCAATCACGCCCCTCCAGGTTTCGCTGTTATTACCCACGTGAGCATTGAAGTCTCCCAGTAGGACAACAGAGTCTCCAGGAGGAGACTCAGAATGTTCAGTGAATTTGCTTTTTTTGTGATAACCTTAGGCTGCGTCCACACATACACGGGTATTTTTTGAAAGCTGAAATTTTCCTTTTTTGTTAAAAAAAATAAAATAAAAAATCCCGCCCACACGTGCAGTTTTGAAAAAATATCTCCTTCCACATTTAAATTCTAAAAACTAAGTCGAACATGGAAAAATCCTAACCGTGTAGAAATGTTGACCAATCAGAAGTCTAAAAGCCTGGGAGGAAAAGAATAAACAGGGTTTTGTGCCCTCACAAAACCTTAAGTACTTCTGAAAAGTTTTTGTGATTTTCTGGGAAGGGAGCTAATTTTGTGTTACTTTTCAAGTACCTTCATCATTTCAAATGTTAATAACTAACGACAGCATTTTGGCTGGTGTAGACTCACAACTTTGGAATGGACAAAATGCATACAGCATAAATAAAACTAATTAAAACTATTTTTTATTCAAAACCGACGTCAGGATTTGGGTCGTGAGAGCGTCTGTGTTGAATGGAGAAGCTACATCGCATGTTCACTCTGATGCCTCTGTCTTTCTAAATGGAGGGACATAAACTGTGTGTGTATATGTAAGCGTGTAAAAACTGCAGATACTAAGAATAACAGCAACAGTATTTTGTCTATATCCGCCATTGTAGAAATTTATCTCATGTAAACAATAACGTGGCCAAAGCGTGATGTCAAAAACGGCGCACACTTTTGACGTTGCCTGAGTAAATCTCCGTTTTCCTCGTCCACACTTAAACGCAAAAATGTAGTTTTCAAAAATCTCCACCCTGGCAGGAGTTTTTAAAAATGTCATCTTTCAGTGACCCAAAATGCCGTACTCAGTTTCTCAAAAAATCTCTCAGAAATTCTAATAGTTTGTTTGAGAAAAAACTGAAATTTGAGCTTACTTTGGTTCTTGGATGGTAATAATATAAATTACACAGCAGTTAATCCTCAGGAGTAGAAATTTCCCTAAATAGTCGTCTTCTTTCATACGGTTGCAGTGTCTCTTCAGTTTTGTGTTGATATGCTGATGTTTTTATTCAACAGACGTTTAAATGCTCACAGCAGTGATGTCCCTTAAGCATCATAGACTGCAGAATATATATAGATTATTTTTACTTTTAAGTTGTATGCTCAGATTTTGATATCTTTTATATGGAGACAAAAAAAATACTCAAAACAATTAAAGAAAAATAAAGCAGTCAATGTGTTATTTAAATTATTCATTTATTCTAATAGTTACTGTAAAATTCTCCGCTAAGAGATTCATCTTGGCCTTCTTGCAGGATTAAAGCTAAAAAATTAGTACACACACAACATATAATTCATTTCTTTATGCTTGTAAGGCAAAAATGAAGAGACTGCGTTGACAGTCAATAGAGACGAAGAGGAACTCAGATACCAGCTATGCTGAAGTTTTCACAACATCACTCGAGCTTTGGAGGTAAAAGGCAAGCAAGGACCACGTCAAGGTGGAGTTTACAGATTATTTTTTCCACTATGAAGGTGCAGGTTGTGGGTAGTGAGCTCATCTAATGTCATATAATCTTTAGCTTGAGATCCAGTATTCAAGGCAAGGCTGGGATGGTCCGTTTGGTAAAGTAAATCCGTTGGGCATCTTTCTTCGCCTTTAGACAATAATTCTGATGGCAAAAGAACCAAACGGGACAGGCAAAAAAGAAAGAAAGAAAGAAAAAGAAATAAAAAAAGAGAGAGATCCATTATTCAGGTGCCCAGTGATCAAAAGTTGATAGCCAGAAGGGGGAGACATTGAGCTACAAGTGAGCTGTGTAGGGTGTAGGTGAGGTTTTCTGTTCTGTTGTTGGGTTACCAGTTCTTAGTTTCACTGCACTTCAGCATGTGACAGTTCACTGTTAGCGATGTCTGATTGTCAAAGTATTCATTAATTTTTGACCACATTAATCTCACCTTCCTCTGTCTTTTTCTCACACTGCTGGTGGAACTACGGTCCCTCCTGCTGCATTTCACCATGGCTGGTGCTAGCAGCAGCAGCAGCCTCTTGAGCCCATGAGACCTGGTTTTTTTTTCTAAAAGCTGTGTGAGCATACAGTCAAGGTAGGGCCTGATTGTTTTCATTTATTTGATTAAGCAATCCTTTGACTGTAATGAAAATGAACCACTTGCAAAAAATAAGCATCAAAATATTGATGAGCATATTTTCCTTTTAGCAAATTCCATTAACAAAAAACCCCAAATAATTTCTCTGAACACTCTTCCAACAACCACACCAACCCATCCCACTGTACCACTGCATTACATGTACTAAATCAGTGCTCATCCAAAGATTGATATGCAAAGGAAAGCTGTCAGTCCTCTTATTAAAATGATCTTGTTTGAGATATCACATGACCCAATTTTCCTTCCTACTTTGCATCATTGTAATAAAGCTGAAAGCTGAGTCCATTTCCAATGCGAGCAAGTAAAGAGCAGTAAAAAATAAAATAGAAACAACAGAAAAAGATGCAGAAGCAGAAAACAAACAAACAAAAAACAAAGCATTAGTATAAAAAATAAGCCAAGAAACCAGAGCTGGTTAAAGGCACTCAGATGTTTGCATGTTAAATTTGTAACTCCTGGTATGTTATATGTCAGGGTGTGTGGCTGGTGGGATGTGGACCCAATTGGAAGACTGAAAAGAGAAAGAGTGAACTCAAAACCAAGTTTTATTTCTGGTAAACCACAGAAAAAAGCCTACAACATACAATAACAATCACCAAAGTACAACAGGAAGACAGACACAAATGAATGGGGATGTCATGGTCCTGGGTTGTTGACCCAGTGTTTGTGTTTTGGGCGTATGAATCTTGTTTGTTTATTGTTTTGATCTTGAACAGTGGGTTATAGTTCATAGATTAGTTTTCTTGTGCTTATGAGTTTTCTGATTATGTTGTTTATGCCTTGTGATTCAGGTTGATTGTAGGTTATCAGACTTCCTTTAGTGTTCCCTTTTCTGTCTTGTCTTCATGTTTATTTATCTCTGTGTCCCTCGATCTCCCTCTCTCTGTCTCCAAGTTCTTAGTGTTTCCAGATTTTCCAAGTGTTTTTCCAGCTTTCACGATTTGTTCCTTTTTCAGTTTGGTTTTCTTGGGCGACCTTGGTTCAGGGGGTTGGGACGCTCATCTGTAACTGGAAGGTTGCCGGTTCAATTCCCCAGCCCTCTCTGTCCTGGTCATTGTGTCCTTGGTCAAGACACTTTACCCTACTGGTGATGGCCAGAGGGGCCGATGGTGCGATATGGCAGCTTCGCTTCTGTCAGTCTGCCCCAGGGCAGCTGTGGCTATAACTGTGGTTTGCCTGCACCAGTGTGTAAATGAATAGTGGAATTGTAAATGCAATCCAATATTATGATTTTTGTAATGTTTGACAACCAGCCTTCTTTTCTCCGTGTGTCTGCATTTGGATTGTCCCCTCAGCTCCACATGCTGCCCGCAGATTGTGACAGGGGAGAGAAGACTAACTTCGCACATGAGACACTGAACACTACTTAAACAAGAGGCACTGAGGCGGCTGGGAGATAAAGCAAAAATATAAACAATACAAATTATAATACTTCAAACACAAATGATCCTCAAAACCAAAACAGAATCAAAACTGTTCTCAGAAACCCTGAGTCCAAAACCCTGTAACACCTTTAAAACTACCAGTAAAAACACATCTATCATGGCCACAGATGCTCGAGATTCAACACAAAAGCAAGATCTCTCTTTTTTTTTTTAAAAAAAAGACATGCTTTACCTATTATGACTAACTCCCAGTATGTATGTGGTGTAGGGAGTTTTAGGAGCTCTTCAAACCTGATTACTGTGGACACCACATAATCAATTCATTTTTATTTTGGCATTAGGCACAGCACTGTGACAAAAACCCAACAACCTCCTTAATCTCCAGCCTCACCCCAAAAAATGCCTTTTTACGAGGACCACCTGGGCCAAATACCACTGAGCAGAGAGCGCTCCCAAAAGGTGGTAGAGGTAGACTCTGAAGGGTTTCCATTTTCTTAAAACTGTTGTAAATACTGTAGTTTTCTACTTGTTTAAGGGGGACCACCTTGAGTTCCACCCTTTGCATGAGCACTCAGTGAAGATGATTTTTGGTTTTTTTTTGTTTATCCCAAATGCAAATTAGCATTTTGGATCCTAACATGAAAGCGAAGAACAATTGTAATCCAGCAACTGTGCACTTTTGCTTTTCTTTCCTCATTTTGATATGAAAAATGAAGATGC